CCTTCCCATATTGCTCGTTGGTGATATTCACTGCCACAGGAAGTGGTGGCGGCTACAAGCATGGACGGCTTCAAAAGGGAATTAGATAAGCATATGGAGCAGAGGTCCAGTGGCTATTAGCCACAAGGCATAGATAGGAACTCTCAGTATGGGGCAAGTGATGCTCTGTCTTCTTGGTGCTTGGGGGAGGCAACGGTGGGAGGGCTTCTAATGTCCTGGCCCCAGTGGTGGACCTCCTGATGGCACTGGTATTTCTGGCCACTGTGTGATACAGAGTGTTGGACTGGATGGGCCTTTGGCCTGATCCAACATTGGTGTCTCTTATGTTCTTATGTTAGCGGCTTCCTGTTCAGACCACGTTTGGGCAACGCTCATTTCCACTGGCTTCTGGTTCTAGGTCTGGCTTAGACTGAGTCTCTGAATCCTCATTTCTTCTGACTCTTTGATCTGATCCCCATTCATGGGCTGCCCACGGTTCAGCGGATGTCTGACAGGGGAGGCAGTGGGGTTGCCAACCTCTGGGTGGGGGCTGGAGACCTCCTGCGATTACCAACTGATCTCCTGACGCCAGCGATCAGTTCCCCTGGAGGAAATGGCTGCTTTGGAAGGGGGAACTCTATGGCATTATGCCCCACAGAGGTCCCGCCTCTTCCCAAACCCCGCCCTCCCCAGGCTCCACCCCCAGCATCTCCATGACAACCCTAAGAGGCAGTTAGAATCTTTTCTCTCATCACCTTCTTCGAAGCTAGCCAAGACAGCCATTTTGGTGTAGTGGTTAAGAGCGGCGGGTTCTAATTTTGAGAACCGAGTTTGATTCCCCACTCCCCCACATGCCGCCAGCTGGGTGACCTTGGGCAAGCCACAGGTCTCTCAGAGCTGTTCTCTCAACAGCAGTTCTCTCAGAGCTCTCTCAGCCCCACCTGCCTCACAGGGTGTCTGTTGTGGGGAGGGGAAGGGAAGGAGATTGTAAGCTGCTCTGAGACTCCAAGTGAAGGGCAGGGTATAAATCCGATCTCTTCTTCTTCTTCTTACAGCAGGAAAGAGCAAGAGTCCAGTCGCACCTTAAAGACTAACAACATTTGTGGTGGGGCGTGAGCATTCTTGAGCCACTGCTCACTTCTTCAGATACCTGGTCTCTGAAGGAGTGATCAGTGAGTCACGAAAAGCTCCTCCCCTGCCACAAATGTCGTTAGTCTTTAAGGTATGACCAGATTCTTGCTCTTTCCTGCTGCTTTCGTTGTTCAGTCGCACAGTCGAGTCCGACTCTTCGCGACCCCATGGACCAGGTCCCGCCAGGCCTTCCGGTCTTCCGCCGTCCTCTGAAGTTTGCTCAACTTCATGTTCGTTGCATCTATGACCCTGTCTAACCATCTCATCCTTTGCCGTCCCCTTCTTCTTTTGACCTTCCTGCTGCCACAGACAGGCTAACATGGCTGCCCATCTTGACCAAGATAATCTACCTGAGGTTTATTAGAATAGGCTTTCGTCTTGTGTAATCAGATGATGTGTCCTGTGGCTTTGGAGGGAACCCAGAGGCCTATTTTGTGGGAACAACAACTCGTGAAAAAAAATGGAAAGACCGAGCAGAAAGGGGTGTGGGTGTGGTGATCCCATATACGTGCGTCAAGCACAGGAAAGGGCTTCCTAAACCAGCATGACTTTGCAAGCCTCCGGTCTCTATGGCTGCACAGAGAGGTCCATAAGTACATGGGGGGGGGTTAGGCGAGTTGAATTTCCAGAAGCTGCGAGAACTGCTAAATAAAATTTTCAGCAGTTGGAGCGTCAGTATTATTGTCCTCCCTACGAATAAGCTATGCAAAACAGCAACATATTGAAGATGAAATTACTCAAATTTGCATAATTCATACAGGGCAAAGAATCCCAGTTTTCCTCGGCACAGAATTAGGATTGCCTGGCTGCTCAGTTTTTAGTGTCGAGCGCACACATTTCTGTAACTGAGTTTTGCCTACTAAACCGAAGAGGCCTGCGTATAGGACCTGGCTCTCTGAATATTTATACCGTCAAATAATATCAAATAAAGTCATTCTGGTGCGCCCCAGAGTCACATGCACCAAAACAGATTCGTGTTCTTAGAAGTAACTTAAGTCAACATTTTTATATACACCTTCTTCATTCAGTTTATGCTACCAGTTTGCCAGTTTGAGATCATTTTAACTGTGATGGCTAATTGTCCTGGGAATCACAGTTGATGCTGTTGATCATTCTCTCTCTATGTTCTCTAGAACCAGTCTGGTGTAGTGGTTAGGAGCGTGGACTCTAATCTGGGAGGACCGGGTTTGATTCCCCCACTCCTCCACTTGCAGCTGCTGGATGACCTTGGGCAAGTGTCAGCAAGCTGCCATGTTTGATCAGATGTATATATGCTTAACCTGTAAGTGCCTTTAATCCTACTTTCCTTTCTGTAATGTTGACAGTTGTTGCCTAGCATCCCAAGCGCATGCTCACAAATGAGTAGCTTGTTAATGAAACGCAAAACACTTCAAGGGCAGGAGGGAGATAAGGAGGATTGCTTTGGTCTGCTGGATGTTGCTTTTATTCAGAGGCCTGGGAACATAGATGTTTGGGATTACATAGACCGTTATGATTCCCAGGATTTTGGTGCTTCTTTATTCCCGGGCGGGAATATGTCTCATTGGTGTAGAAGCTGTTTGAACTCCTTTCATACTACCTGCTTGATTCCTCAGATGTCATTCTAAACAGAAACCTTGTTAGTGAAACATCTTTTCAATAAAGTCATCCTCTTGACTGAGAAGTGACTCGTTGATCGATGGTACCCTTACAGCAAGCCATAGTTCTGTCAGAGCTATTGTCTATAGGACAGTTCTGGAAAGAGCTCTCTCAGCCCTGCCTACCTCACAGGGTGCCTGTTGTGGGGAGGGGAAGTGAGAGGAGTTTGTAAACCGCTCTGAGACTCCGAGTGAAGGGTGGGGTATAAATCCAATCTCTTCTTCTTCCTTAGCTCTTCTCTTGCCCTGCCCTGAATGAACCCCCTGTAGTTACCCTGTGAGCCAGTTTGGTGTAGTGGTTAAGTGTGTGGATTCTAATCTGGGAGAACTGGGTTTGATTCCCCACTCCTCCACTTGCACCTGGCTGGATGACCTTGGGCAAGCCATAGTTCTGTCAGAGCTGTCCTTGAAAAAGAGCAGTTTCTGTCAGAGCTTTCTCAGCCCCACCTACCTCACAGGGTGCCTGTTGTGAGGAGGGGAAGTGAAAGGAGTTTGTAAGCTGCTTTGAGACTCCGAGTGAAGGGCGGGGTATAAATCCAATCTCTTCTTCTAGGTTCATCTTTCCAGCTTCCAGTGTTTCCTGGGCAAAGATTCCTAAACTTCCGTAACCTCTAGATCTGGAAATAAGGAAGTGTTCCACTGCAGAGTACAGGAATTAGGCATGGAACAAAAACACCTAATTTATTTATATCAAGCCTTTCTCCCCACTGAGGACTGAATGCGGCTTACATTCTTCTCTTCTCCTCCAATTTATCCTCACAACAACCACACGGGGTCGATTAGGCTGAGCGTGACTGGCCCAAAGTCACCCGGCAAACTTCATGGCAGAGTGGGAATTTGAAGCCAGGGCTCCCACATCCTAGTCCAACACTTAACCGCTACACCACGCTGTCCTCTCTCAGGCCTTGCAGGGCTCTCATGCTGCATACTTAATTCAGTGGTCCAGCGGTGAAGATTTAACTTCCGAACCCCCAAGTTGGACCACAGAACTGGGTTTTCAAAAGTGTGTGTTGCCTAATATGCAAAGGAGTTCCTGCTACAAAAAGAGCCCTGTTATAATAACTGGCAGCGTTAACCTTTTCCTTCCCAGTCCCCTTTTCTATCAAAGTAATTCTCTCAGGTTGGTTTTTTTCACTCATGGGGAAGGGGTGTCCTTATATCTTTCTCCCCGCAAATGGCAAAGCAGCTTAGGGAGAATGATTCTATTTTTTAAAAAATGCCAGCTTTGCTCAGCCTCTCCTCACGTGCCCATCTTTTGCTCAGGTGCATCGCTCATTTGAAAGAAAAGAGTCATAATGTTTGAGCCCTGGACTACGCCTCTAAGCGCTGGCGCTTTGAAGTCGATCCCGTTTAAAACGGCTTTCGTGCAAATGGGCTTAGTTACGATTGGCATACCTGGCGACAGACTCCTAATTCAATCTGGTCCTAAATCAAATTAATCAGTTTATGCAGAAGAAGACTTTTAAATCGGCGGCCTTTTAAAATACCTCGGCTAATGCCAAAGGACGGAATTTGTCTGGCACTTGGAGAGTTGGGAATTTTCACTCCCCTTCCCCTTATGTACATATAAAGGTAAAGGTTCCCTTGCTCGAAAGCCAGTCGAATCCGACTCTAGGGTTGCGGTGCTCATCTCTGTTTCAAAGCCGAAGAGCCAGCACTGTCCGAAGACGTTTCCGTGGTCATGTGGCTGACATGACTAAGCATCAAGGTGCACGGAACACTGTTACCTTCCCACCGAAGTGGTACCTATTTATCTACTTGCAATTTCTTGCTTTCGAACTGCTAGGTTGGCAGGAGCTGCAACTAGAGACGGGAGCTCACTCCATCATGTGGCATACCCGGGTCTCGAACTGCTGAACTACTGAACTTCCACAGCCTGCAGTTCAGCGTCTTAACCACTTGAGCCACAGCAGCTCCTATGTACATATAGTTTGTACAATTTATGCAGGCTTTTCGCAAATCAGCCATCCTTTTTCTAGTTAGCCAATGGCTAGGAGGTTTTCTCAGGTCTATTTGATCTGAAAAGAGGAACCTGTTAATTTCCCGTCTGTTCAGGCACAACGTTGCCTTGTTCACAGTCTGTAGCCTTGGGGAAGAGAGAAAGAAAGCGGGGAAAAGACACAGAAAACATTTCAGGTTTATGTCCTTGATTAACAACAAACAGCCAAAGCATGGGGGGTCCTGACATCCTTTTAGAAACCCGCAGCTTGAAGGGGGTATTTGTCACGGTGATGGTGCTTATGCGCAACTTACTGATTTCAGAAGCTATTACGGTAATGTTGTGCCACAACAATGTTTCCCGGTCAAGAGTCTTGGAAGTAAATATCGAACCATTTCCAGAATCAATGTTGAATATTCTATCCATATCGGTATGGCGATCGACGGAATACCTGAAAGTTAGAAAAAGTCGTTTAAAGATCCCTTTCGCAATCGCTTTACGGTGCTTTATGAGACGAGGTACGAAACATCAAACTACATTTGTTGATAGGTTGGCGCTGCGGATTTCTGCAGAACCTCAATACATTTCCATAAAAAGGACGAGACGTCATCCGGAGATCGCAGGTTTTCTACACAGCCAAACGAAGCTGCAAAGCGTAGGTGTGTGAGAGAGACATTCAAACACAGGGTTGGGGTTAAAGGGTCATCTCCTACCTATTCTCCTACCTGAGAGCCAGTTTGGTGTAGTGGGTAAGTGTGCGGACTCTAATCTGGGAGAACTGGGTTCGATTCCCCCACTCCTCCACTTGCAGCTGCTGGATGACCTTGGGCAAGCCTTAGTTCTGTCAGAGCTGTTATCTCAAGGACAGTCCTCGAAAGAGCGCTCTCAGCCCCCACCTACCTCACAGGCAATGTTCCCTCTAAGCTGTGGAGTCTTGTGAGCAAAAATTCTACCTTGTGAGCTCCTGGCATTAAAGTTGCAAGCGAGCAATTTGGCTGCTGCATAAACCAGTTTGCTCTGGAGCCCTCCTTCCTGAGCTAAGACAAAAATGTGTGAGCCAGAGGCTAAAACACTGTGAGCTAGCTCACACTAACTCAGCTTAGAGGGAACACTGCTCACAGGGTGTCTGTTGTGGGGAGGGGAAGGGAATGGAGTTTGTAAGCCACTCTGAGACTCCGAGTGAAGGGCAGGGTATAAATCCAATCTCCTCTTCTTCTTCTTCTTCTTCTTCTTCTTCTTCTTCTTCTTCTTCTTCTTCTTCTTCTTCTTCTTCTTCTTCTTCTTCTTCTTCTTCTTCTTCTTCTT